AAGCAGAATGGGGAGGCGAGGGGAAGAAAAAAACAGGGAAGGGAAGAGAAAATGCGAGGAAAGAAGAGAGTAGAAGAAGAAAGGAGAGAGAATTGAGGTGAGGTGAGACAAATATGAGGAGAGGGGGCATATGAGGAGAGAGGGCATATGAGGAGAGGACAAGAGAGAGCAGATGAGAGGATAGAGCAAAACGAAAAAAAGAGAGCACAGGAGAGAAGAGACCAAGGAGAATGTAGAGAAAAGCAGAGTAGAGAAAAGAGGGGAAAAGAGGAGAGGAAAGAGCAAAGAACAGGAGAAGGAAAAAAAGGAGCAGAGGAGGGGAGAAGAGAAGATGAGAGGAGAGAGAGAGTAGACAAAAGAGGACAGGAGAAAGGGGGACAGGGAGAGTATACAGCAGGGGGCAGAGAATAGAATAGCAGAGAAGAAGGGAGACAACATAGGGAGAGGAGAGGAATAGGAAAGGGAGAGGAGAGGGAGAGTAGAGCAGAGGAGAGGAGAGGAATAGGAAAGGGAGAGGAGAGGCGAGGGACAGAGAGAGGAGAGGGAGAGGAGAGATAGAAAGATAAAAGAAAATAAATTATTATTATACAGGATATATATACTGTAGTTCCAGCAGTTTGCACAGCTCTTTCCAAAATGAAGGTAGACATTACAGTTACATTACAATTAGGTACAAGAGGAAACAGAGGACCCTGATCCTGGGAGCTTACAATCTAAGAATAAAAAGGATCGAAGGAAGGAATATAGGAGGGAGAAATAAAAGAAGGACTGTATAATTAAAAAAGAACTGTGTCAAAGATTTTCCATCAAGAATAGTCATGTTTATACAGGGATGCACAAGCAGGCAATCATCATTATACGATGAATCAAAAGGAATGCCGCCCTTTCTTGCCCTGTTATCTGGCTTTAGAAAATCAATCCCTGTGTCTGAGAGATCAGAAGCAGCAAAATGCCAGGCAGGTTCTGATCACCTGTTAAAATTTGATCCCATCTGTGCAGGGGCGGACTGACAACTCATGGGCCCCCCCCCCGGGCAATAGGGGATCATGGGTCCCCTGTGTCCTTGCCCAAACTCAAAAAAGCCTATGAAAAAGGTACAGATGCATCTCAAAGCCCCCCCTACTGACCCCGGGCCCTCGGGCAGTGCCCGAGTTTCCAAATGGTCAATTCGCCCCTGCATCTGTGTGACAGTTGACTTGTTTTGTAAAAAAAAAAATTTTTCAGACAGATCAACTGGCAAATATCAAACAGATCTTCCAACAAGTTGGAAATAACACCCGAAGCTATCAGTGTGAACGATCTCATAGAGTGCTGGGTGGTGGAATCTCTGCACAATCTGTACAAAACAGTCATCAATGGGCTAATCTGCCTGGATTCAATTCATCAGGGGTCAGCAAATCCTGTCTGAAATTCTACAAATCCAAACTTAGTGGCAATATTCAAGTGAAGTCTTTGGGAGGCAAATCGTGTTAGTTTTTTCCCATTTTTACAGCTAATGGGCATACTATTGCAAAAAAGGGTAAGCTGTGCATTGCGATTGGGGAAAATGTATCAAAGCAAAAAAACAAACACATCAGGGAGGGGGTCTTTTCATATGGCTTTGAGGACAACATTGAAGTAACACAATTAATTTAACTAACATGCTTGAGCGATGCCTTAAAGCTCTACCTGGTGTCAGAGAACAGTACGACTTTCACAGTCTCAGCGACACCGTACACTGACCGTTCATATTTGGCGGTGGAAACTGATTTTTTTCCTTAGGCAGTAGGTTCTGCATACATACAGCAGCAGCACCCCCATCCAATTTATTTCCATATGTGTTCTGGTACTTTTAGCAGCAAAACATCTTTTCATCAAACAGTAATAGACCCATTTTGACCAGTAGATGGAAATCAGCCAGTGGTTCACAGAGGCTGTCCCTGTTCTCCCTGATGCAAAACTGTCCAGCTGCTGGCCAATTTCTATTGGACTCTCATTAAGAATTAAGGGCTTGTTTACACTAGTGGTTTGGGGGGGAATCCTGTGGTTGAGTGACAGAGTTTCAGCAATTGTCGGTAGATGGATCAGAAACTGGGGACTTTTAGTGGTGGAGCAGCAGGGGAGCCTTCATCAAGCATTCAGACAAACAAGGAAAGGTCTATAGAAGGGAAGGCAGGTGACATGGCAGAAAGGGGACTAAATACAGAACTGAGGATACAATGTGTACTCATCCTTCTTTGTACTCTGTTGTGTAAGAGGAAACACCATCCATGTAATGGGAGTCAGTAGATGTCAGGTCATTTCAGGGGTTAAACAGCCTACTATACATGTGCTGTTCACCCCCTGTGCCCCACCTCTGCTTGCCAGACAACGTGCCCGGGCATCTGTGACTCAGCAAGATGGTATCTGCCATGCCTGAGCTCATCTCATCACGAAAAATGTATAGGTTTCTCTAGTGATAGCAGATACAGAGAGGGGCTTAGTTCCAATATCCATATTTCTTTCTTTCTTTTTCTTTCTT